TTCAAGTGGGTACTTGATGCAGTATGACATTGAATTGACTGGCTTCATAAACCACCCGTCCATGTTTACTCCCTTCATGATTCCCTTGTAAAATGTGGTACAAATATGATGTATTTAGCCTGAAGATTAAAATCAGTCGACCATTTGTGATTGACCCATAAACTAGCAAACATCTACTACTGCTCCGAAAAAGGACGGGGACAATTATCTTACGAAAAGTTGGTTTCGCAAGCGAAGGACTGGGGTGTCCATTTAATTTTGAGATATTGCTAATTTTTATTAGGTAGACTGATCTAATTGGCTTTTTAACGATTCCAAAACAATGTGCTTGGAATCACGTAAATAATATGGCATGTGGGTAAATTAATGAGACAGATAAAACCTTGGTCCAGTACTTACTAGAGGGGGCTAAGTATACACTCTCGATCCACATTTACTGCTAACACCGTTCAACGAACCGACTGATCTTAGATTTGAACTCATATGTGTCTCATGCGTTTCGTGTTTTCTCGTTTAAAACTGTTAGTTGCAGCATGCTTAAGAGGTGAACGACTTCATCGTAGCTTCATTCTTGAAAGGTGTCACCTGAGTATGTTCAACTCATATTAAAAACTGTTATAAAGGAATACTTTATTAAACTTTTCTCCATTCTGATCAACGTAGTAATAATACTTCTGACTTGTATGGCTTACCGTTAGCTTGAAGTGTGTTTCAGTCCAAAATATGATGATAAAATTGTGGAAGGTCTTCAAATTTCTTTTACTGATGAGCAGTAGGAGATTTTGGTCATCATATAGATTGAACGTCGGCCACAAGTGATCGCAGTCGTCGCATTCAATATGTATGAACACCAAAATCCCCTACTACTTATCAGTAATCAAATGCCGCTCAACGAGTCAATTATTTCTGTGATTTAAACTTGGAGAGAAGTCCTAGTCGAAGGGACATCGATTGGAGTTAACAGACAGTAAGTGTGCCTCTGCTCAAGGCGACCGGACAACCTGATCATTACTCACATGTGAAAGTGGTTGGGCGTTCACGTATGATAATTCATTATTGCCTAATGTGAAATCAGTGGCGAAGTGGTCCACAAGGTTGCCTCATGAAAGCGTGGCCGGAGTTCTAGTCCCGGCAGTGGTGACGATATGCACTACTGACGAGCTGTAATGAGAGTGAAACTTGAGTCTAGTGATTCTTTTCGAAATGGGCCGACTGGAAAGTCTATGGGACTGCGACGGCTGCGATCGATTGCGGGTGATGTTCAGTCTATATGAAATGTGTTCTGCTTGGTAACACCGAATTTTAAGTAGCGACTGGGACCGATTTCTAACATTTCCAGTTCCCTGGTCGTTAACCCGTTCACGTTGCGCCGGATGATAACGTCAGAATGTTTAGTAATATTGATAAGTAACATGTATCAAGTCCACCTTTATGAATTGCAATAGCACAATGCTTTTCGCTAATCGAAGTATTTTCATTGAAATTAAACCTATAGATCATTGCAAGTGTTGCAAACATATGTGTGACAACCGGTAACCGGCAGAGCAGGTACCGGTTTAGTATATTGGTTACGTCAGTAGTACAACCGAGTACGTTTTCATGAAAATAGACGAACATTTTATGTAGCTAACCAAAAGAAGAATAAGATCTGAAAGGAGTTGCGATTTGTGAAACTCCATTACTTTGAGGTAACAAGACTACTTACATGGGAGTACGTAGTGGAGAACAACGCTGTCAGATGCATCACGTTGAACTTCGAAGCTACACTTCATAGCAATCGACAGACCTGTCAACTCTGGAAAGATTCCTACACAATATAATATTCGATATAATTGTGTGACGAACAGTTTGGAATTTGCTGATTGTAGCCCCCATTACATTGCAGCGTTGATACAGCAGAGCCGAGTGAATTATGTCAACGTTCGTCACCAAGTCACCTTTAGTTTTTATTTACCGAGTCGGGGGAACATCTTCCGCCGAGTTCCCAGTGAGTAAAAACTGACCATAGAGTGGTCTGTTCACATGTGGATTACACCAATTTGAAATGGTGATAGATGAGTCCATCAGGGAGGGCAAATTAGCAGGTGGATGCAGCTAATTGGCGAATTAATGTAGTATCACCGAATGAACTAACGGATGATGGTTTCTATATTTTTTTCGGCGAGTATTTTCACAGGAAAGACTGGATCATTACCAGGCACGCGCTCACTCAACAGATGAAAGCAGTGACAGAGAGTTGACCGCGCTTTTGTAAGTCCGTCCATAGTCGAATGAACTTCTGATGGTTTATGAACACTACTCCATCGTGCGTACATTTTGGCAAAAAGATAACGTTATCAGTGATGACTGACCAGTTGTTTGTGACCGCATCAAATTCATGATAGTCGTGGACCGCTTTGAGCTTCGTCTTGCGCGGGCTGATTTTCAGCGAGCCTTATAATGTTTGGTGACATTGTACTTGTCTTAGAGCGGTTCTCTCGCCACTTTGCCAGAAATGTAAGATACCAGTGCAAACGAAGATACTAAACACAATACTATGAAACTGGGGCTAGGCTCAGGCAACGATGAACCAAGCGCTTCAGTGATTTCATAATGAATGAGAACTATGCCGGTCGATGAAATTCACGTGCATCCTGTTGAAAACGGATAAAATGGTGGTCGAGCATGGCTATTGCGCCTCGATAATAGTTGAAAAATTAGTGCTGGCTGATTTATGTGCTACTGGATTGAACATCGCGAACGTCTGTGGTTGCTACATAAATCAGCAAGAATTCTTTAGCAGTATGTAAATTAATAAAATCAATTTGAGGCAACGATTCTGTGTGTACAATAGCGAGTCAAAGAGCAACAGTTGTTCAAACACATTCCAACGGTCTATCGGCATCCCATGAAAGCAACGTTCCAGTTTTCAAAGTGAGGCAGTAAATCTCAGTTCACATGCTGATGTTTAACTGTGTATTTTGTGTAACGGTTTGAAGCATTTCATATTGGGAAACCTCCTACGACCTGGTGTAGATTGCAATCACTGACTGGAGTATCTGCTGTCCTGTGACTTAAGCAACTAATCTTTTTGCTTATACAGTTCAGTAGATGAGTTACAAGCGTCTGGAAAAGAGTGTGAGATACATATCGTCTGGTAAACTGAATGAACATTGACTAATCCTCACCGATGATAACTTACCCATGTGTGGCAGAGGCAGTAATACGCCGAAACACTGTCCGCTGGAGTTGTTCGGATGCTACTGCTTAATAGGTTTCGCTTCTGTCCCAATTTAAAAAATTAAGCCAAACCGTCACCACCGTCTGTTCCACAACAATTTTCACGATCTGTCTGTGTATATGGTTTCACTTCACTCTAACGTGATAAAAAATACGCCTATAATTGGGGAGGCTAACGAGTGAGCAAGCACGGACTAGATCTACCAGTTGCACAAATCTCCTCAGGCCAAAATATATGAATGGCAGGCAGGTGTTTGACTTGTGCAGTCTTGTACTTCGTTTTGAGTATAACCGACAGATTAACCAGTTGGAGAATAATATGTTATGAACAATCGTCCCAATTGTACAAACTTTGCTATTCGGTATTTTTATTTTCGAGAGGACTGGTTAGTCGACAGAAAATGTCGCGCTAGCACACTTTTCGAAAAATGATTTTTTCAACTAAACTGCAATCAAGATGCACTTGTTAGGTGAACGACTAGATCAGTTCACGCTGGAATCCATCAACGCCACCGATGAGCATTGACAATGAATTACGGGTAAGTAGTTTGGCGGATTTGATAATTTAGAAGGGATCCTTTTGGGAAAAGGTGGGTAAATAGGTCCATATGTGAAATTTCTGATTTTCCGGCTTGGCTTCGTAGCTCAGCTGGTAGAGAGCTTGCCGCTTTTGGGCATGGCGTTTCAGTCGCTGGTTCGAATCCAGCCGAAGTCCAGACTTTTCGCAAATGGATCTCCTCTAAATTATCAAATCTGCCAAAATACTTATTAGTAATTAAAAGTGTTTGTTTAATCAGGATAATGAAAAGACGCATATGTATACGCTTGAGGATAATAAGAAAACAACAGAAGAGGAATCGCTGTCAATTGTGCAAACAAAGTTTCTCAAATCTAGGAGTGATCCAGTTGTAAAAAATGTAGGTTTATGCTGATTTCTAACCAGAGGTCGAAACACCTAGCACAAATGCAGCAAGCATTCTGTTAGACGAGCTACAAAGCCAAGTCGCGAGTTTGCACTTGGACTGAGTCAACCACCCGTTCTACTACCCCATACGGAATCAACTAAATAATCTGGAGATCGACCGCCTCGGTTGAATTTGTCATGCGATTCAAAGTGGAATCTGCCAACACTACTGCTGGACTCTCGACCTGACTTCGTACGTGAGCTTATAAAGCGCTTGCTTTGTTTTGTAGCGCTGGTAATGTCACCGGTTGGAATCTAGTCGAATCCAGGTCTTTTCACAATGTTGTTCCTTCTAAATTAACAAATTTCTTCAGCCGCTTATTAACAACACAGTTCTTCAAGTTCGGTAACCCTTCCTTCCAAGTACAAAGTTATCGGTACAAAAAAGAGACTCGTTTTTGTGTATGCTCAGTTCATGTTGACGATAAAAATCCGAGAATGGTTGACAGAAATTTGCATAATTTTGTGAAGTTTTGGAAAGAAAGAAAATAAATTTGGTCAGACTGACGAGGTTTTTCTAACACTTTTTATGAACATATGAGACAGAAGTGCACACGATTAATGGCTTAAACAAAACAGCGACGTAAACAAAAACAGACCGACACTGATACCAAACGGTTGTGCGGCGCGAATAAATTACTTACTTAAATGTACGGGTTATTGAAGTGTTTTTAACATCAAAACCTCATGAGGAAGTGTTCGTAGCAAATAGAAAGAATACACAATATCAGTATATGACTGTGAATCATACTGAAGTGTTTTAGAATCCTGTTATGTACTGACTGGACTTTGACGGTCGAAAAGATTTCATAACATCATCACGAATACACCAGCTCAATGAAGGTCTATTACTTCGATTTGTTCCAACCAAAACATACACGATGTTAGGAGATTTCATGAATGCAGGCAGATCTTGATTATACAGACAGAACAAATTGCAGAACATATAAAACGTTGAAGGATACCATAATTTTGAACAACAAGACCAGGATACTGCAAAGTGGATCCATAAAAACATATTTCACATGGACTATTGAGTTGTCGGCTAACAGTGACATACAAGTGTCAATGAGTTGCTTGCTATGAAATGTCCGTTAGCAATTGTACACCGTCGTACTGCTCACACAAGGACCAGATCATTAAGTTGTTTCAAATAGTTGTTTACTGATTTGTGAGTAATTCAGCTCAATAAACAGATAACAATAGTAAAGAAGAGGTTATTAATTTGCCTGTTACATCCCGATATGTAAGACTGCAGGTACAAAATAACCATTTGACTTCTATCACAGTATCTACAACATCATGAACAACAAACACAGTATGCTGTTGGTGTAAATGAGAGGAGAGTCGCTTGCGTTATGTAGCTCGTTATTTCAAGTTCAAGTAGCTAAGAATCTAAAAAAGATGGTATTTTTGCATGAGGTAGAAAAACAAAAAATCTTATGACTGTCGTCATAAATTTTGAGTTGTTGATCGCAGCATTTGCCTTCTGATGAACTTTTAATTCAATCCGTCTCGACTGAAAGCACTGGATTAGAATTGTGATATTGTAAAAACTTGTCAGTAGTGCACATCCTTGCCAAGGTTGAGATTCAAACTCTGGCCCCACCTGCGTGCCAGCCGCGTCCACCCGTTCTCGTTCATAACTTATTCACCAACCTTTACTACAGTGGTATTGTAGTTTGTTTTAGTAAACATAACCTGTAAAGTAGTATGTACCTCGGAAGAGAAGTCGACGTTCAACTACGCTTTCCAACTGTTGTGGAAGATTTTTATCCACGTTTTTCGTCAGGCGGGTAACTGAATGTAAGACCTTGGTCCCTTCGTACACTATCCCAGAAACAGAAATCAGGTGTTCCGAAGTGAGTAAAATAAGCATAAGAAAACTTTAAAACGTGTGGGTTGAGAAACTTAACCCGAAAGCGTTTGGTGGACAAACAAACTGCAAACATCTCCATTCAAAAAGATCGCGATGGTACAAACTTTGGCGTTCTCCTACTGCTCAGAATTCGGGATGGTCAACACCCATTGAGCTTGCAGTGATGAACAGATAGATACCACTACTATGTTATATCCTGCATATGATGCAGTGGAAGTGAAAACGATCGGATAAGGTGAGAGGTAAAGCGAACGACACCGAAATCTCACCGATAGATCTGGCTTATTCCATTACACTATTAATACATAAAAGCGGGGAGTTGTAGATAATTCTACGCACGAAACAGTCAGAAGTCTCGGGGTGCTGGGACGAACGTTGATGATGTCCTCAAATGAAGTGGATGGCTGCTGACTCTGAAACGTTTCCAAATTGTACCATTAATTTGTATATCTCTTGTTGAAGTAGCTGGAAAACAGAACGGATTCTCGCAACCTACTGTAGGCAAAAGCATTGGTGAAAAGTGGTCGTGTCTTACAGCTCCTTAATTAGGGGTGACAACGACCCACATAATTGTAGGAAGGAAGTGGAAATCAAGCGTGCATTAGCTAAAAATATGTAAGATATGATGGCAGCAGTGAAGCGACAAATGAAATCGAAAATGTTGACACCATTGTTGACTGTCAAATTAGTGCACAACCAGCCAATATCGATATACCAGTGTGCTTTCGAATTCCGTCATTGCCTTTCCTGAAAAGACACCCAGTAAAACAACTGAACCAGACAGTGTTCCAGCAGTTGCTTACACAGTGCGCGTGTTTTACTGGCTTTACCAATGACGAGAAAACAAGAATTTTAAAGATGACTACTGTACTAGTCACGACAGAAAGGGTAGTAATTTTCCTTTATTGTCTGTAGGTTTGACCTTCTGAAGTTTGTCATAAATCCATAACTCGCACATCGATTATGAGAAAGTTTAGCAAAGTAGAGCATTCCATTTGTCCTACATTTCCGGACTGCTTGGTTTAATTGACCAGTAATGATAGAAGACACTTCGTGAGACGTCAACATTTCGTTTACTGTCTTCAGTCACGAACGCAAAACATCAGAATATATATATATATATATATATATATATATATATATATGGGGATGGCAACAATAATATGAGCAACCATCGATTAGGCTTACATGTGGCAAGGCCTGTTATCAGTTCCAGGGCAGACAAACTGCATGAGTCAACAGTTTATCCACACACACACGAGACCGGACGGCGATTACGCAACAACACTTGGAACGAGTTGGCTGGGTCAACAACGTGACCTGTTTCCATGATGTGTTTTGCTATGGATGAGGTCGGATTTCGTCTCAGTCGCTCTGTTGCCGTTGCCTGTTGCATCATGGTATGCACCAACCACTTAGGCAGATGCTTAGTCATTTTTTGCTGTAGGCACCGATCTGTTCTGCCGATATAGATGTCACCATAACTGCAAGTAAACTGATAGACTACATGTGAGACAGAACATTCCGGTAGATCACGATTAGGAGTAAGCTGAGTGACACTCCTAGTTGTAAGTAGCAACCACCATTCAGCCGCAGGGTATGCACAGGTTACAGCAGACTATAATTTTTCACTTATGTTAGTTGTGATATGACCGCCTTCGAAAGGAAGGTGCAAGAAAACCTGCTTCTTACGGACCGTACTCACGCCAGACTTGATCAGTCATTTCTGGCTGTGAACATCGATGAACTTCTCAGAATAACCGTTTGCGAGCAACACTTTCTTTAACCTCTCTTGCTCTCCTTGGAAGCAGCAATCAGTACGGATCTCCAGGGCTCTATGAAACAGGGTTCGCATCAGACCTCGTTTATAAGTTATTGGTCCAAAAGAAAAAAATGCAAATACTGACCTCTCCAAGTGTCCTTACGGTGTGATGATTGTTGTAGCGACCCGTCCTCTTATCTAAGAAGTAAAATGTCTGGAAGAGATTAACTACTGTTTGTTTCCTCTTCAAAAGGAACAGAAAAATTGAGATGAGCAGAATTAAGAAGGCTTAAAAGTGAAACGAAATGAATATTAGTGGTAAAAATCAAAATATCATCAACATATTGCTTATAGAAGCTGGCACCAACTATAGCATCAGATAATTTTAATTCAGTCATTTCTGAAAATATATCTGCAAATGTTGGGCTCAATGGACCACCCGTTACTACATCATCAACTTGTTTATAAGATGATCGCGCATAGTCAAAACAGATATTTTCTGCAAACAAATATTAAAATCTTTGAGATAACCAACTGGGAGACAAAGGTAAATTTTGATGGGAAATAACATCACACAAATAGTTATATGTTTCTCGAACGGGAACGTATGTAAATAAGGAGTCAGCATCGACAGAAAACATCTTATGTGAACCAACCGATACGTTCTGTAAGGTTTGTACCAGTTTGAGAGAATCTGTTACACCGTGTGGGGGGGTGTTGGGTGTAAAATTCTGAAGAATGGAATGTAGAATGTCAACAAGCCATCTGGCAAACTTGTGGTACAATGTGTTATCCATGCATAGGATTGTCCTCAATAGGATACCAGATTTATGTGGTTTTTGAGTTTAACTGACTGTATTTTTGTCAGGTAAACGTTGTGTAGCGGTACAATGACTCACTATTTATCGAAATGATTTTCCTGACCTCATTCAGTCTAATTATCTATGTCGTTTGAGGTATTGTTTCACTAATAAAATGCAAATTATGTGATGACAAATTTCAACCTTTCCTCAGTCTGAAACAAGCATTGTGACGTTCAACTCATCATACACAATCACTACTGCCTCCACTTGCAAGTTACACTTATTCCTGTGGGAATGGTTTACTCTC